GCTGAGGAATGTGAGGCCCTGTTATTAAGCTGAACCTTATTTTTGACTCCTTCAGCTTCAGAGCAGGGCTATGAGATGACACTAATAGCAGCGCTGTATCCACTCTTTTCTGGGGCAGATGCTTGTCAAGTAGACAAAACCCTTGATCTTGAGATGTCTGTCTGGCCCTTGTGCAGTGCCCATGCCTAAACGGGGCTCTCCCCATGCTTAGATCTAATCAGCAGCCTTTCATGGGTAGTCTATAGTCAGGGAAAGGGGATATATGGTCACGAATGTACTCATGTGTCTGATTTATTCGGGGATTGGGAGGGAGAGGGGAAGGACAGGGAGGGGCCAGATGATGTAATCTTATTTGCAGGTCAAATCCAAAGGTTTTTATGATGGCTTAAGGGGAATTTTGCCTATGTAAGAAATTAGTAGGGACTTAGAGATTTGCCTTTGGTTTTGTATTTACTGAGCAGTGATCTTGGGAACTTGGTATGTGGAGGTTACATGTTAGCAGCCATCACTGTGTTATGTCGCCACTTGATTTGATGTCTTGTGAATGCTTCCTTTTGAAAATATCCTTACCTTTAGAGTCATGTGAACAGCTGCATACAAAAACCTAGATTATAGGGGATCAGTATAGCCTTCTCAGCTTTCTACCTCGATATAGGTCTGCAGCAGACAAACCATCAGTCTTCTGAGACTCAGCTATTGTAAAAGATAGCTGATAGTTGTCTAAAAGTCATTTTCTATTGCAGGCTTAATTGTGACAAGTGTGGTCCATGCTACTTTCTGGACTGTCTCCAGAAGTATTTCAAGAACTGATCTTTTTATTTATGGGTTCTATTTATGGATTTATAGATCACGTGGCCATTGTCAATTCTTGTAGAAGGAGTTCCCCCTGCTAAAATAACTGTTATGTATCTTCCCAGAGCCTTGCTGTTGAATGCTAGCTCATTCTGGTGCAGTGATGCTTGCAGTGTTTTGTTTCTCTTTTGTATTGATTGAATACTTTGAACTTATCCTACCAGATAGGGGACACTGTCTGATCCCCTCACTATTAATGCCCTTATTTGCATGTATTCAATGTGATAACAATAGTGGGGCAGGAGGAACTGATGTCTAATATCAAAGAGGTAGTGGAAATTATAATCCTCATGGTATAAAGCTGAAGATCACCCAGCCTCCTGTTGCTTGCATCCCACAGGGCCAGGGCAGTGACATTGCTGGAATGACACCTCTCTGCACCAGATGTGGATGTCTTTTGTCGCACTGACGTCAGAGGAGTGACGCTGTGACACCTCCTGGGTGACCAGCAGTGACTCAGGACTGTGCTGCAAGCCTACCTGGAGGCTCGGTCCTCAGAGCAGGACTTGTGCTGAAGGACGGCTCTTGTCACAGTTAGTCCTGCTGAGATCAATGCTTTTTTTTTGGAATGTCTACTTCCCTCTGGGTAGGCCAGAGCTATGTAGATCCCCTGTAGTGATTTCTGTACTGAGTTTAGTAGATATATCTGAGGGAAAACTTGCACCTTGTATAAACAACCTTGCTGACGTAGAGCTACAGAGTGAGTTTTAACTCTTCTATCCTCTGTCATCTGATTGTTAAAACTGTTACCTCAATGTTTTATTAACACCAGTTTTAAAATTTAGTAGTTTTATTCTATGTTGTAAAGCACTTTTGCACCAGTTCCCAAGGGGGGGATGGCACTAAGAATGCTTCACTGTGTTTTTCAAATTGGTTAGGTTAATGCTTTTCATGTTAATAAACACGTATTAAGATCTTATTAGACAGTGAGTCTGTGGGCAAAGGTCCTGTTGATCTCACTGGGGAGTTTTATCTGTGTCAAAGAATTGCAGGATCAGGTCGTTATTGTATCGTTTTAGAAAATAATTGGGACCTCCACTTTACGTTAAAATGTTTGTCAAAGCAAGTGAAAACTGATGAAGAAAAGACTGAGATTTCAGTCTACAACCTGTAGTCTGAGTTTGGAGGTCCTAACACATAGACAGAAGCTACCCTGGTAGACATTGTTTTTGAAATAATATACAATTAGTTTGAGGAGTAATAGTAAAATTACCCTCTGCTTAAAATCAAATTAAAATTTTAAGGAGGACTGTCAAGGTCCTGGAGTGTGTTGAGGAATGGCTAGCAACAGAAACCATCGTGGCATTACAGAAGGTAGACAGATAGTGTTAATTACAGAAGGTGTAAGAGAGGGAGGTTGGTGGTAGCAGTAATTTATTTCAGAGGGCAGTTTAGTCATTGTACTATTCCTAGACAAGGCTCTGTATTTAAGTGATACTTAGAATGTTACGTCATTTTTTAAACCAAATTTAGGTGCTTGAGTCACGTAGAGGTTTTTGAAATTACTCTTGTCTTTCTGTCAGATGTTTCTACATGGCTGATCTTGGAAGACACAGCACCTACTGGCTGCTGTACAGTTAAGCAGGAGCTGGGAGCTGGAAGTGTCAAGGGGTTAGTGGATACCTGCCAGCAATGGCAGCATGGACAAGGATGATCTGATGTGCCCGGGGTGTTTTTGGAGTTGCTGTGCTTGTGCAGTTGGTCTCTGTGTGCACCTTGTATCAGAGGCACCTGGAACGTGTCACTTTTACTGTGCATGTGCAAACATCTGCCTTGCAGCTCAGAGACCTTGGGTTTGCTGCTTATAGTCACTCTGTACACATTCGCTGGCTCTCTTTTCTCAGGGATTTCCCAACATCCTGCAGCCAGAAATCTGGTAAAATACCATGTGGAGTGGGAGGGAAGACAAAATGGAAGTGTCAGACTGAACCTGAGTTGTATGTGCTGGGTAGTTCAGCCCTCCCTGTGACCCTGAGCTGTGCAGGCAGCGAGGCATTTTAACGAAATTTATAGGCTGGGGCTAGTGCTGGGGCTGGCTAACAGCCCTTACTGGGTCTGAGGTCCCTCTGATCCCCGCGGGCTAGGTCAGGCACCAGGGCTAGGGTAGACAAGTAGGCATTGGAGAGAGAAGGCAAGTAGGCTAATGTGGGAGAATCTCACTCTTCTGAATTAGTTCAGGTAGCATGAAGAAGTGTATTGTTTTTTCGTATCAAGGGTGTCAGATACAGATTTGTGATCTTGATACTGCATAATCAATTCTCTCCCCTCTGCTGTGCTTTGTCAGGAGCAGTTTTGTTCATTTGCAGTCCATGTTCATGCTTTCCTTCCTGTTTTGCTTGTCTTTATAGATCTTTATCTGAAAGTTGAAACTGTTTTAGTTGATAGCGGGAAGATTGTACCCGCTTTTGGAAAGAGGCGAGCGACACAACACGTTGATAAAATAGCTGTTCAAGATGCATTTGTTAATGCTGATAACATTAAAATGTTGCCTGGAATATTTACAGTGCAAAGGAGAGGGGAGGCACCTCCTCAAGCGTTCGGGGGCCAGTTCATCTCTTTGAACTGCTGCCATCTGAAGGTTAGGCATCTGCTCTAAACTGGCTGACTGGGCACCCTCTTGAGACCTTGGAGAGAGACGGGAAGGGGCAAAATCCCTTCTGGAGATGTGTGTCTTAAGTACATCTTTTGGGTCAGAACAAGGTGGGACAGGAAGGCTCGTCCCCTGGAAGCAACTGTCTATTTCATCTGACCACACAGGGAGCCTAAGCATTTGACTTACTGTCCAAGACTTAGATAGTTACTGTAGGGGAAATGAATCCCAGCTCGACTGATTTGGCACTACAAACCTCAATGATAAGTTAGTGGGAGTTAAGGCTCTTGAACCTTCCAAGTGCTGTAGATAATGCTGCTATTAAGTTTGATGTTTCCTGTGAGATACTTGGCTGTGTCTGGACTCACAAATGTGATTTGTCAGCTAAGCCTGAGACCAAATTCTTCCAGAGGCCTCTTATAAAGGAAGGAGAATAGTGTGATCCATGACAATGTGAAGGGCTCAGAATCCAATTTTAAGTGGCACAAGCCCTACAGCGATGTAGTCCATAAGTAATACAAGGCATTATTGGGCAGTGATATGCCAAATCTACATGAAAAATCAATCAGCTCCTTTGTTTTTGCATGGTATTTTAGGTAAGAGATTACTTTCATTTTAGAGGGTATTTGAAAATATAACAATTTCTTAGGGATGCAGAGGGAATGTTGGCAGGTACATGCATTTTGTTCTGTCTTCTGGGTTCATGAGCACAGCTTTTTCTAACTGTGGTGGTTTTGTAGGTTTCTGTGTCCATTTGAAAGCAGGATTGTTGGTATAAAATGTGGTCATCCAGATCATAATGGAAAGGCTAGTGAAAAATGGCTTTTGGTGCTTTGCCGAGCATGAGTCCTCTGCCCTGTTTCTGGGCTGGCATCTTTACCTCCTAACGTGGAACCTTAGGGTTCCTCTGAACCTTAGAGGAGCCCTAGGACCCTTCTGGAGACTTTGCAGCCTATTAGGAGGGGCTGGCTGTGTGGATGGTTTGGCCACTAAGGTACTCCATAATTCATAACTGAAAGAATGTCTGTAACAAATGGACTTCATTTGGATATTGCTCACTGCCCTTAAATGGTGCTTCTTGTGTTGCTAGTGACTCCTTGACTTGTCTTATCCCTAGGGTGGTGAGGCAGCAGAGCTTTTAGATTTGGTTTCTTGTGCTGAGTTGAAGTGCTATGTGCTGGGGAACACCATGGCATCATTAGGTGAGGGGCTGCTGAGCACTCAGTACTGCTGTTGCACATGTTATAGGTCAAGACTGGGCTATTTTATATATTTATATATATATATATATATATACTTTTCCTCTGAGTTACTCTTCTAGCAATTGATCTTCATCTGCTGGGCATGTAAATGCTGCAGTTTGTTAAAGTCCTGGCTAAATACCTTCTTCAAAGTGACAGAGAGACAACCCGTGCATCTCTACCAGTACTCTTCAGTGGTGAGACACTGAAGTGTGTTTGGGTAAATGTTGCATCTTCGTTTTCTCTCATGCTTCCCCCCCTCCTCTCTGTTTTGTTTGTTTCAGGTTCTCGGCCTTTTTGGATCTACACAGTGGACATTGCATCTTGTGTATGGCGTGGTTAAGCTTGCAGCCTGTCACCTCAGCCTTCCTCCATTTTGGGCTGGTTACTTTTGTGCTGTTTTTGCATGGTTTGCAGGTGGATGCTGGCCTGACGAGAGACTCAACCAGTTCAGTACAAAACAGCTCGTGTTCAGGATCTTTTGACTGCAAGGAAGGTGTTATCCTGCCAATATGGTACCCAGAAAACCCATCCCTTGGGGACAAAATTGCCCGTGTTATCGTATACTTTGTAGCATTGATCTACATGTTCCTTGGAGTCTCCATCATTGCAGATCGTTTCATGGCATCTATAGAGGTCATTACATCACAAGAGAAAGAAATCACGATTAAGAAACCAAATGGAGAGACCACGACAACCACCATTCGAATTTGGAATGAAACTGTTTCCAACTTGACCCTCATGGCTCTGGGCTCCTCTGCTCCTGAGATCCTTCTGTCTGTGATAGAAGTGTGTGGGCATGGATTCGTAGCTGGAGACCTGGGGCCATCTACAATTGTTGGCAGTGCTGCTTTCAATATGTTTATCATCATTGCCATCTGTGTTTATGTGATCCCTGATGGGGAAACCAGAAAGATAAAACACCTGAGGGTTTTCTTTGTCACAGCTGCGTGGAGCATCTTTGCTTACATCTGGTTGTACATGATCCTTGCTGTCTTCTCTCCAGGTGTGGTTCAGGTCTGGGAAGGTCTGCTCACACTTTTCTTCTTTCCACTTTGCGTCCTTCTGGCTTGGATAGCAGATAGACGTCTGCTTTTCTATAAGTATATGCACAAAAAGTACCGTACTGACAAGCACAGGGGCATTATCATAGAATCAGAAGGTGATCACCCTAAGGGAATTGAGATGGATGGCAAGATGATGAACTCCCACTTTCTAGATGGAAACTTAGTGACTGTGGAGGGGAAGGAGGTAGATGAATCTCGCAAAGAGATGATCCGGATCCTTAAGGACCTGAAGCAAAAGCACCCAGAAAAGGACTTGGACCAGCTGGTAGAGATGGCTAACTACTATGCCTTGTCTCATCAGCAAAAGAGCAGAGCCTTTTATCGCATTCAGGCTACCAGGATGATGACAGGAGCTGGCAATATTCTGAAGAAGCATGCAGCTGAGCAAGCCAAGAAGAGCACCAGCTTGCATGAGGTGCGGCCAGACGAACCTGAGGAATTCATCTCCAAAATTTATTTTGACCCATGCTCCTACCAGTGTCTTGAGAACTGTGGGGCTGTTCTCCTGACAGTGGTGCGGAAAGGAGGGGATGTGTCCAAGACCATCTATGTGGACTATAAAACAGAGGATGGCTCTGCCAATGCTGGTGCTGACTATGAGTTCACGGAGGGGACTGTTGTCTTGAAATCAGGGGAGACCCAGAAGGAGTTCTCAGTGGGAATTATTGATGATGACATCTTTGAGGAAGATGAGCATTTCTTTGTGCGGCTCAGTAACCTCCGTATAGTGGAGAGTGAGGAACCTCCAGAGCTCAGTAACTCCCCATACCCAAAGGCCATATTGGCTTCCCCGTGTGTGGCCACAGTGACTATACTGGATGATGATCATGCTGGCATCTTCACATTTGAGTGTGATGTTATACATGTCAGTGAGAGCATTGGTGTGATGGAAGTCAAAGTCCTAAGGACATCAGGTGCTCGGGGTACAGTCATAGTGCCATTTAGGACAGTAGAAGGAACAGCGAAAGGAGGTGGAGAAGACTTTGAAGACACTTATGGGGAGCTGGAGTTCAAGAATGATGAAACTGTGTAAGTACCTCATTCATTTCTGTTCCTGGCTCTAGTTCTGGTGTTTAACCCCACATTTTGCATCCATTACAGGTGAATGCTGACAAGGGACAGGCTTCTTTCTTCAGCTTTCCATCATTTTCCCTAGTTACCTCTTTCAGGCAAGAACCGACAGCAGGATTTAAGAGCTCAAAGCTCTTATCCCTTCCCTCTTGGGAATGACAAAGTGAGGCTTAGAAATACAGGGTGGGGGGCAGGGTGGATAGGAGGAAAATATGTAATTTTCTGAGGTCCTGTACTAAAGCTAGGGGTTAATAGAGAGTTAAGGTAGAGAGAGAAGAAAAAGGGTTAGCTTTTACCTGGCTGGGCAAATAGGGGAAAGCCTCTTTTTGAACACCAAATATAGAGTGCACAGGAGTTTATTGCAATCCCTAGATGAAAAGTTTACAACCGTTATTCCCAGGCAAGCAAGAGCTGCTCAGTAGATGTGGGGCTTTATTTTCACAGGAGCAACACATCATACCTGTGTCCCTAGGCTGCCTGTGCAACTTGCAGGTCCAGGTGGCAGCTAATTCACAGCGTAAGCACAGCTGCAAGCTGTTCTGCTGGACTTGTGAAATCCTTCCAGCATTTACATCCCTATGGTCTACCCATATTCCCTGTGTCACCTTCTCTATGATATCCGTATGTCTGTTCTTTTAGCACCTGTGGTTTTTCCCCTTGTAAAATACCATGGCAATTGGCAATAACAGTCTAAAGCAGTGCAGCTCACAGCCTGTCCATGCGGCTTCATGACCCAGTGTTTTCATACAGAATAAAGAAGGGAAACAGAATAGTCTGCACCAGTCCTGTTAATTCAGCTCTTTTATTGCATACAAAGTAGCTGATATGAAGCTAGGAAGTAATAAAGACCAGAGCGGTGATAATGTCTAATTGCTTTAAGTACCTGCTGTTAACATTAGTGAAGAATGAGAAAAATCCCTTAGCTGAGTAGGGAGAGGGAGAGGGGTGTGAGTCTGGTACTGAAACTCCCTAGTGTTAAGTGCCTAGGTTCCTCTTGTTAACACCTAATCAATTGAGCCATCAAAGGAAGAATTGTGCAACTGGCATCGGAGAAAGGAGATCTTTGTACCAAGCCTCCCAATACAGTACCCAAAAGGCTGTTAATGTATTAAATGCTATGGAGTAGGGAAGCCCTAACTCAATAGCACCTTCTGCCTTAGCCCACTAAAGCATTTAATCTAGCTATTATCCACAGTCCTGGTGCTTGATTATAAGTACATGTTCTTCCTATTAAAGGAAGAGAAGCTCCTGGTTGGCTGGCTTCAGCCACTATCAGAGATGGTAGAGGATCAGCTGTCCTCATCTGACCTTTTTTAGGGTGATAGGCCATGCAGGTTAGGCCCTTTAATTGAGCCAGAAGCTGATTTCTCTAGAGGAAATTAAGAATGTCAGATGTATGGTTACAGTCTCCTGTGAGTAAGCTACCTAAAATATAATGGGTACTATCTTGCTTCAGCCAGGTCTTAAAGAAAAGAGACTTTTCTTGCTTGAAGAAGACCCATTAGTGAAAGGCCAGCGGGTTTGGGGTAGCAAAGAATTAAGCCCATGAGCCATCCTACTCCAAACTGTACTCCCTTTTTTTCATCTTCTAGCTGATGGAAGACTTCTTTTTGTCTTTGAAAAGTGTGACAGAAGGTCAGAGTGTACCCACATAGTTGCTTCACTTGGGTTAAAACAAATCACGTTCAGCAGTACCATGTGCATCCTACTGGGACAGACTCTAATGAAAATTAAGGCAGTCCAGAAAACAAGTACGTGTAGGTTGCCTGACAATGTGGTTTGTGACCTAGAGGAGATGCCCTAGAGCACAGATGAGATATTTGTGGTGTGCCTAAAACTGTCCCCACACCTAATGTATTAATGTGACTTTCACGTCCGCCTCAGAAGACTGCTGGGAACAAAGCCTGCTAACCATAGTGGCCATGGAGACCATGTGGCTAGCAGAGATGAATTTCTTTTGAAGCTAGAATTAGCGTGTCTGGCTCAACATAGCACTTAATCAAACTAATAAACCGAATGAGGAGAGAGATCATGTCAGCCAGCAGGCTGCCTTTATTCACTCCTAAGTTTCATTTTAAATCTCCAGCTCTTCTGGGAATGGAGTTTTGGGCTGGAAGCATGTGAAGGTAGTTTTCAGTAATCAGCCCTTGGCCTTTAAATTCAGTGAACATGGGCTAGTTGCTTTACTTTGCCAGCTCTCCTCTGAGGTGCAGGTGGAAGCAGCTGTAGGAACCTGGAAGCAGCAATGGGTGGGTTTAATCTCTTCTTCCTTTTTTGCTTTCTAAATCTGAATGCGGAAAAATGATTTTGAGGAGATATTTAGGCTGTAAACAAATTTGAAGTAATTCAGGTCGGGATTTTGAGTTCAGACCCATAATGCTACTATTCCAACAAATACTATCTAGTTTTGTTCAGCCCAGTTTGGGAAGATGGGCAGACAGGGTGTTTGGGACAGTTTTGCTGACCCAGAGGGCAGTGTATGAGTGACTAATCATGGTGTCACTTGGTACAAGGCTGTATGAAGACACTGGGTCACCAAATAGCCAGGGGATTGCCTGGCTGAGTATTTGAGGCCCTGCCTCTTAAATACTTTGCCACTGGGGGGAATCCATCACAAGGTACTGACATCCCCTGTGCCCTGAAGGGGGGACCAAGGGTCCACAAAGCCCAGTGCAGAACAGAGGAGAAGGCAGGAAGACTAAGATGGTCAGTAGATAATGCTAAGGACAGGGGATCAGAAAGCAGTGAGAAGTTACGTGCTCCCCACTTCAACCTAGTGATTAGGAGAGGTGACACTTGGGCTCTAGTTTCCATGCTGGTGTAGGAGCATCTTGTGGATGGAGTCCTGCCTACCTCACTGCTTTAACCTTGTCGTTCTCCTCATGGAGTCACTTTGAAAAGATTTTTGACTTATGGAGGAAGGAAATTAATCAGCAGCATCTTGCAAACATGTAAAACAGTGCTAAGCTTTGCTGTGGCTATGCATATATGCTAAGGATCTGCAGAACTGCAGCCACAAAAAAAGCACTGGAGGAGGGTAAAAGCTTCAGTTCACGCTCTCAGCTCATTCTCTGACACGCAAATTAAAAAACTTCAGCTTGCGTTCTGCAGCGGCAGGCGATCTGTAAGTAGTTTGTAGGTCGGCCTCCTTAGGTGTAGCAATGGCTAGGTTAATCTTAGGGGCACTGGATTACACAGTGTCCTTGAGATTAAACTAGAGGAGAGGCATTGTCATCTACCAAATCCTCAGGGCCAAGGACAAGCACTTTCCTGGAAAACTAGGTGGAGAAGGGGTCTTCACTTAAATATAAGAAGACAAATATACTGTCTTAGTGTTGTTTTTGAGAGGCTTTCCCTAAAATATGTGGGACTAAGAAAAGATGAGTTGATGCAAATGTTACAGAATGAGAGGGAAATGGATCCTGCCACCGGGTCTTGCTTATTGCCTCTGTGATTCTTTCTAGACTAACATGGTCAAAGTTTCCTCACTCACGTTTAGGTGGGAGGACAGGAGAAAGCAGCCTGAGATGAGAGGCTTGAAACAATGCCATTATTACTGAAATATGGTCCCATGCAGTGTGTGTGTATGGATGGATGTGTATGGGTGTTGGATAGCTATAAATCAAGCCATATAATCTTGAATGCTGTCATCTGTTGCGAAGGGAATTGATCGGGTCTCAAATATTTTATTATGCTGTCTCTTTTTCAATGTATTTGTTATTTCTGAACTCCTGCACAAGTAAGGGTCAGATATGACCTAAGCAAGTGCAGCAGAGTCCTAGCTCTCTTGTTGACTAAAAGGAAATTCTCAAAAAGTCAAGTCCAAAACTTAGATTTTTTTAAAAATTATTTTTATTTTTATTTTTTTTACAAGGTGGCCAAACACTTTTCTACTAAATGATTTTGTATGGAAATAAATGTTAGGTTCTTGGAGGTATGAAAATGTAGAAGAATGATTGACCCAGCTGCTCTATCATGTCCAACCAATAAAGAAATCATTAAGAGCCAGCAGCAAAAAGTGAATTGGGTTTTAAAGGATTTTATTTTTGCATAATAAAGGGAACTCCCAGCAAGTCATTAAATTTAATTTTTCTCTGTTGAAATTATTTTCTCTGTTTAAATTCTATGGCAATTTGTCTAGGAATTTGCTTTAGAAAGTTTAGGAAGATACACAAGTTACCAGTAGCTAATTGATGTGCCACCCCGAAAATAAAGTGACAAATTCTGTTGTGGCCATGTAATTTGCAGCAGCTGTAATGAGTTAATGTTTAGGCCAAGAGATCTGCTTTGCTACTTGCCTTTGTTGCTGATTGCTCAATTACTTGCAGGACTTGATGGCTAGTAGAGGTGTAGCCATCTGCCCTGCCTCTGTAGTTCTCAGAGTATTGCCTGTGGCTCAGAACTGCATGTTGAGAGATGCTGTGGTGTTAAACTGGTATTAAATGGCCTGCAAAGTCAGCATGGCTGAACTTTGGGAACGTGTGGAAACTTATAGTCACTTATCTCTGTGTGTGTTAGCTCTTCTGTTATTGAGAGCTCTGCCTATCTCCTCCATTTGTACAGTCTGGAGACAAACATGTTAAGCCTGCCTGCGTCAATAGGCAGGAGATTTATTTTTTTTTATTTTTTTTTTTTTTGCCTGTAGGATTTGGGCAGGACATTGTGTGCAAGTTGCACATTGCTTTTCTTTGTCTGCTTCTCCCCAGAGAAGCCTTCAGGCTGCTGCTTGCGTGGCTGTGGCTGCTCCATGTAGTCACAGTGAGCCTTGGGCTGTCCCTGAGCGTGTGCTTGGCTTGGCGGGGCTGGTCCTCCAAAGTGCTGCCATGACACTGAGCAGCGGAAAACCACATGCGTTTCTTCATGTTGGGTGCTTCAGGCATTTTCTGGGAGAGGGGCTTGTGGAGTGTGCATGTATGTATGCATGTGAAGGCCAGAGCTGTGCCAGAGATGGGCCTGTCTGGGTCAAGCTCAGGCTGGTG